ACCACATTTCAGCAACAAACAAAGTACAAGTTAGAACAAAATTGCTTCTTGAGGTTATTTATTGAAGAGTACTGCACAGTCTCTACCTACCTTATTGTTGAAGTCAAAATTGACAGCCTCTGCATCTTCCTGGATTCTGTTGTTTTCCAACTGAATGTCAACCAATGTCTTGGAAATCTAATGAGTATCAAAAATATAAAGTTTTCATGACAAATTAAAGTCACTCAACCACAGTTTTAAAAAACTGTTTTTTCAAGGATATATCCCCTCCCCTGATCTAGTTATCTAAGCACTTTTTCGAGACAAAATATTTAAAAGATATAGCACCAAAAATAGCACAACTGGCATTCTAACATGCTTTCTGATCAACTAAATTGTATCTCTCCATTTTCTTTAAAAAAAACTTAGTACTTAAAAATTATCTAGGATACTATAACAGAAGTTTCAAAAACTTTTTTCAAACTTTAAGGTAGTTGTCAATGGTGGATTAGAAAGCTGTGCAGACAATGAATGAATTATATCAATCAGATCCCTTCAATCTTGACAATTGTTTAAAAGCTGTAGTGGCCCACTACAAAAAAATTAAAATTTGACTGAAACCCCTGATACAAGAAGAAACCAAGGAAAAATAGAACAAGAAACAAACCTGTAATTTTTCTTCTTCACTGGAGATCAACTTTGAAGAGAGCTGTGTCTTTGAATTCATCAGTTCACTGTATCTTGTCTGTATCTCGTCAAGCCTTGTGTATAACTGCTCATTTTTCTCCTGTAACTTAAACTACAGCCGCAAGAAAATACAATAATAACCAGTTAGGGGTGAGACTCAACTACTGTAACATAAAGTCTGACATTATGGTTTTTAGTCGCGTCTGCACTGAACCCTTAAATTACAAAGGTTCAATATATTTGTACCAGTAATTGTTCCCTACAGCTGATAAGATTGTCTTTTCTCACTACATGTATAATGGATAATGTACTGATATAGTAAGGAGAAATTAATACGTTTTTGTCACTTCCTTAATCAGAAGGATTGTCGTTAAGGACTAACATTCCCATCATTAAAATCATTAAGGGATTTTCCTCTTGTCTGATTAGTCCTTGTGATCACTTTAGTTTATGTTTTCAACACTCAAGCAAAAGTGCTCAGCTATCTTGCAAGTTCAACTTACATTTTCCTGTGTGAGCTGTGTCATTTGATCTTTCAGTTCCTGTGCCCTGCCTGGAGTTTCTCCTGTACCTAAGCTCCTACCACCACCTGACATTTGGATGTCATCTTGAAGTTTCATAATTAGGGTTCGATACTGACATAAGAGTTCCTGTGTGAAGACAAAAGACAACCTATCAATCACAATGTCAGCTAACACACTCTTCTAAATAACTCAGAGAGTCAAGACCATTTCCCACTTAGTCTCATTTACACATAGAAGATTCTTGAAAAAGTCTCTGAAAATTGTGTGGTTTGGTGGTCATGTGAAGGTACATGAAATGTTGAAAAGGAATGTTCTTGGTGATGATCACAGATGTTTTCCACAAGCTCAGCAGAGGTCAGCATTTTTGTGAAACGGTGACTGCCACTTGGATGATCTACTCACTGTGACTGCTTAGAACAGTCCCATTTGACTTTGCACCTGTCGACTTGCACATCCTAGCTTCACTTCTCACCACTTCAAATCAAAAACTTAAATTTTCACATACACACACACCTTTGCCATAAAGTCATTGATAACAGGATAATTTTGTACTTGAGCAAGCTGCCCAGCAGTTCTGAGTACAGTTGAAAGACTGGAACTATCAGAAGGGTGCAGTGTCACCAACGCTTTTGTTTTGCAGTTTCCACCAAGTGCATCCTTTAGTAACATGGTCACTTTAGACTCTCTGAAAAGTCAAAAAATGAGCACCACAACAACAGTCTAAGTTAATCAGAAGTACACATTTTTAAACTTGTTATCACCATGAACATAGCATTAGCTCAGATATAACTCAGCTAGTCTCTTTTTTTTTTCATTTCTTAGCTAGCATTACAAACAATCATTTTTTTTCTCCTGAATAAAGAAAAAAGTGTTTGGAGAAAAAAATCTCACCTATCCCCCACTCCCAAGCATTTGTCAGGTTTCACTGTCAGTTTACCAAAACCCATTTATATTCCTCAGTGGAGAGACATGGAGTGAGATGCACAGTTATCCATCTTACCTAACCCCAACCCCCCATACCAACAGTTTCTCTGATTTTCCTAACATTTCACCAGTACAAATTTGTACTCCCAGGTGGAGAGAGAGAGAGAAGCACTTTATTTTATTTAAGAATACAACATGATGACCTGAACAGGTCAGACAGAGACCTGCTCATCCAGAGAACCACACACCTGGCAATCACTCAGCCAGGTGTTTCTCTCAGGTACAAAAGTCAAACACTCACCCATAATTGATGACTCTTGTAGACTTTGGAGCTGCAGCTAATTGAGCTACAAGATTCCCAAATGCAAGTAGAGACCTATTTAAAGTAGGACCTTCCCTCATGCGCAGCTGTGTAGGGTCTTCAGCTAGTTTTTCTGCTCCAGGTAATTTCACCACAAGAAAACGAGATGTAAACAGATCCTGACCATCTTTTGGAACCTTTATGGGCAAAGAAAAGCTGATTCAGGAAGAATAAAAGCATGTAACTTCTCTCTACAATAAGACTGCTAAATCATGAGATTAAAGGAAATGATAACCAACCTGGGAAGCTTTGATTGTTAAACAAATTCTCCCTATCAATATGAAAGGAAATGTGTACAAAGGAATATTGAGAAAATAGATACTGATGTCAGGGTGTACAGGGTTAAATGTGACAAATATACCATGAGCAAACCCATTGCAGCCATATCTCCCACAAAGAGGAGCCTGTTTTACTTAGATTTGCTATCTAAGTGTGTTTTCAAGTCCTTGAACCCTTTAACTCCCAAGATCTCATTAGTAATTCTCCTTACTGTTTGCCAAACGATTCTCATCAAGTTAATTTGGAGAATTTGGTATCAGATCAATTAGTAATCCTATAATTGATATTTTTTTTATTCTCATCACTTGTCTGCATGACATTGTATAGATATAGTAAGGAGAAATTCTATCTTAATCACTCATGGGAGTTAAAGAGAACTTGTGGATTTAAAAGGAAAATATTTCAGGGTAAAAAACTTGTTGTTTAATAGGTGAATACTCAAGTATGGTCATAACATTTTCATACACTCACCATTGACATGTCAAGTGAGAAGAAAACTGTGGTTCTTGTTTCAAAATCTGTTTGTCCCATGGCTCTGTTTGACCACCCCTGACGAAAAACATTGGTACACTCTGCTGCATCAACAACCCTCTTGTAAGTCGCATTCTGCACATGCACTCCATTGCGTCCATCTTCCACAACATCAATATACTTGTCTGATTATAAATTAAATATGATTAAGAAGTTGGTATGATACAGTATGCCTCTATAACATCTGATTACAGAGCTATTGAGTCTCAAACCTTGAGTACGAGACTCATGTTAACTATTAATGAATTAAATCTTATACACTCATCCAGAAACTATTATTTCTCACACATTTAAATTTCTTACTTAAACTGTTGACTTTGAGAAAGACAACTCTTGAATTATAATATATAGATTTAGCCTAGCCTACAAGCAGAGCTTGCATTTTTTTTCCCACATGTCTCAAGGGCACAACACCTTGCCCCAGCCAGGACTAGAACCTGAGTCATCCAACTCGGAGCCCAGTGCACTGACCACTGGACTACTGGACAAAGCCGTGGTGTTGGCGTGCCCATGGTAGAGTTGACCATCAAAATCAAAGACTGCTGTCCAAAATCCCACTCTTTGCCAGTAAATAGACTTGAGAGCTCTGCACTGTACTGTGCTGTATTGAATAAGGATGGACCCATATCAATACCAAATATTCAATACCGGTAATACCAAGGTCTGATCAGACAATAATGCTATTAATGTAAAGTATCAAAACTTTTGATATTGCATGCGACCTGCCCATGCTTTGTCTCACACAGGTGACCATTTGCTGGTAAGGAGCCAAAAAGATTTTGGGCTTGAGTTTGGGCAATGAGCACCTCAGTGTACCAGTCTGAGTGGCTTGCAAGTGTTGCAAGAGTGAACTCATTGATGACCGTGAGTTTCAACTTAAGTACAATTGGTTTAAGTTTTTGACTGTCTTATTGATGCTTCTGTGGAGTATTCACAAAACATAACTTAACAGTACAAGATAACCCTATATCAAGTTAATCAAATCATGTGACTTATCATATAACTTTATGACGTCACAGTATCGATATCAGTAGCGATATGGAAGAAAATCGTCAGCATCACTCTCGGTAACTCGTATCTACTCGGAAAAACCATTTCGGCCCATCCTTAGTAGTAAATCATGCAGACCTACCTTCATGTGGTAGTAGCAGCAGATCTCTTACTTTTTCGTTAAAGACCTCGTAAAACTGTACAAACACAACTCCGTCATTCGGATCATTTCTCTGTACTCTTTGTTCCCTTCGAGCTGACCTTTCACCTTTTACTCGAGTAAAAACAGAATTTATTATCAGGGGAATCAACCCAGCCTTGGAATTCTTCTCCCCTGCAAGAGAGAACGATTTTCCAGATCCTGATTCTCCAAAAACCAAGAAACAAACATTGTAACCAGCGATGAAGAGTTCTATCAGTGGCAGCAAGGAGTCTTTGAAAATATCATAGGTCACTGATTCCGATTTGTAAACAGATCCAAATATGTGACCAGTTCCATCACTTGCTTGCACGCGGGTACCCGAAAGATTTAGAGAATAATGCTCTCCCCGTATGGGTGGTCGAATACGAGCTAAAACCTCCACATTCATTTAGAAATTTGTGAAAGTATTGTACGTTTGCAAAGACGATTATTGACCGCCATTTTTAAAGGTAACAACTGTAGCAGCCTGGCCTGTTGAAAATCGCGAGGCCACCAAGTGGGAATATAACATTGATGTCAAGAACCTTTTAGACGAACTTGAATTCAAAGATGAAGGAAACTTCGAGCAAGGAAAGAAAAAGGACGTTTTACTGTAGCGTAGCCTTGGAACTTTACCTCTTATAATCACTCAAGTAGCACATTGGTGAATTTTCGCGACAATGTTTCCTACAGCAGGGTATTTCCGGAGTACAAACTGTCCATTCTTTGTTCACGGTCTGTGCCACAGACCGTATTGCCATTTTCGTCACAGTAAACCCGGTACGTGGAATTCTAACACTTAAGAGGTAGAATTTGTACCTAGGGATACATTTCCCTGGACGCTAGAGTCAAACCTTTCTTTATCTTTAAATCTTAGGGTGAAATTTAGTAGATAAAGAGATTCGTTGTGGAGTATCGAAATTAAACTTATTACATGAACGAAATCAGTGCGGGTTACTTGAGTTGTTTGGGATAATTACAGCAGCTATTAAGCGCTTAATTGTAGTCAAATGCCTTTGAAATATGGTCAATTACCGTATAACTCTCAGGGATGATTAACTCGAAAGTTCTCCCCACAATTTCAAAAGGAGAATTGACAACTGTATTGACTAGAGACTTTTATCAAGCTGTAACACAAAATTCTCTTTCACAGCTACAAGATTGGGTAGCACACAACTGACAAGTTTGCATGGAAGCCAGGAAAACTGTCTCTATTTCCCAAATGTAACCCCTTGCACCCTTATTTAAATACAGTCAAACTTGTATTAAGTGGCACCACATTAAGTGGTCGCCCTGTATTACGCAGTGGATTGTGAAAGTGTCTAATTTTCTTCCTCTTAGTCATTGTAATTTTCACTACTATCAAGCTATCACCTCAACTAATTCTTAGTACTCCCAAGATCTGATTGTTAATTCTTCCCTCTAGCTGCTACTTTACAAGAATTTAGTATTAGATCAAGATAGGAACTTGTTCTGATAAGTTTGAGTATCCTCATTACCTGTTTGCTGGATGATGTATGGATATTATAGAAAGAAGTTACATGGAAATCATCTCTGGGAGTTTAAGGGTCATGAGATAAAGGAAATAAGGAGAATTTGTTTAACAATCAAGAGCATCTTGATTTCATGATCATGTTCTTAATTCTCTTGTCCACAATGTTTGATTCAGGGGTGATATTGTTAGGTGAAATTAGAGGCTGTTAGCAGTTAAACTTGACCCTCAAGATGACTTGTGAGTCTGCAATAATATTTTTAAGCCAGAATTGATTTTTGGCAACAGTTCTAATACTCAAGGTTGCAATTGATGACTGTGAAGAAATCAATGAAAAGCTGGTCACAGAACCCTGAAGTGTGCATTTTCTCTCTCAAACAGGGCTCAAGGCTTCAAAGAGCAGAACTTCACCTCATAAGAATAATATTGAACTACAATCCAACAATGTTAAGACTACAACACCCAGTCCAGATGTATCTGATGGAGATAAACAGCAGGCTGACATTAGAACAACTCCACCAGAAGCAACAAAAAGGAAGGTAGAAACAGTGGACAATACAAGTCCTGAAATTGAAAATAAATTTACCACACAAACAAACACAGCTTCTAAAAGGGGCATTCTGAATAGAGGTGATGAAGAGCAGAATATTCAGGATGATCAACTTTCTAGTGTCAAAGAATCTTTGCCCAAGACCAGCTTGGATGTAACTGAACCTGTAACTAGCTCACATATGGTCAGCCCCAGTGATGAGGGCATGGAAATGTCTGAATGGGATCGGAATGATTGTGAACAACCTATTGCTTCTCTGACTGATGAGGAGATTAAAATCATTGGGTTGACCACAGTTTCTTTACCTGGTTGCAGTCAAACTGCTGTTAAAAGTACCAATTTAGGACAAAATTCAACTTCAAATGCTTCTAGTTGCATTGTTTCTCAAAGTAATTCCCCAGTTGTGGGAGGATTTTTTGAGAATGACACTGAAGGAGAAGGCCAAATGAAGGGTAACTTGATTGATGTTAATGTTACTGAAACTTACATTGCTAAGGAGGCAAGAATTGCTCAAATCAAGGCTGACAGTTTAGCAAAGAGACTTAAATCCAAAGCTGTGAAGGAGAAAAATGATTCATCATTGGTTTTGGAAAGTAACTATATAGAAAAGAAACAGGAACTCACTGGAGGGAAAGAAAAATATGACGTGACTCAGGAAAAGCCACAAAGACGAAAATCTGTTCAGCTTCAAATCTCTGTTGAAGGAGATGAAGACATGAAAGAGTCTTTGGATATACCTGCAAAGAAAAGAAAATCCCAGCAGTTGCCATGTGCAACTAGCTCTTCAATTCACTCTTCTGCACTAAAGAGCGAGGATAGTAACAAGGCTACAAAAAGGAAAGATAGCATTTCCAAACAGGAATATAAACTACATGAGTTGTTTTTGTCTGCATCAAAGTCACTGGAACACACCATTCACTCTAGTAAATCACCTATTGATAATGATTCTAAAGACATAAAAAAAGGCAAAGCAAATGCATCAAAAAGAAAACTAAGCCTTGCAGAGACTGAAATAAATTTCTTTGGTCCTTCTAAAAGGCAAAACAAAACTGAGAAAATGGAAAAGCAGAAGAAAGTTAAGGAGGAAATAGCTGCTGTTAAAACTTTGAAACCCAAAAAATTAGAAAACAGAGGATTGGAAAAGAAGAACAATTTTCAGAAGACCAAACTTCAGACAAGTGCCAAAGGTTTAACTATGTCAAGTGAAGATAGTGATTACATGTGCAGCCCTGCAGGAGGTGACTCAAGCCATGAGGAGAATGATTCACTGAGAAGGATTTGGAATAACTTTGAACTGCCACAAGACAACCTTGTGATAGAGAAGGATTCACAATCACCCGTTAAAAAACAGGCACAAGAATCAACAAGGAAGAGAACATTGTCATCTGTGTCTAACGACTCTGACGTGATGAAACAACCATCTATGGCTGATGCATTAGGACTTGGGAAGAAACAGCGAGTGGCACATATGCCCAGTCATGTAAGTTAACCATTTGCACCCTTTCATCAGTATGCATATTCTTCACACTGTTCTCTATAAGGAGAATTTGTGTAACAATCAAGGGCTTCTTTAGTGGGTGATCATTTCTTTTATTCTCATGACCTTTAACTCCCATGAGTGACCAAGACAGAATTTCTCCTTACATTATCAATACAAAATCAGGCAAACAAGTGATGAAAATTTAAAAAGTGTATCAATTAGGGGATTATTAGTTGATCTAATTCTAAAGTTTAAACTCTAAACTTTCTTTATATGTCATGAAAATTGAATGGCAGACAGTAAGGAGAATTACTAAATAAATGAGATGTCGGGAAAGAAAGGGTTAACATTTGATTCAGTGATGACATTTTAAGGAGAAGTTGGATGTCATCTACTTGGTGGTTAAGGGATTAATTATTGAAATAAGTAACATTATGAATTTTAGCTTTTTCAAGACACAAGCCTGAGTTTTGCCTTTACATGTAGTTAAGAGGTTAGAACATCTGAGAAAATTTATATCCATTGATTACTTGTAAGTTACAATTGTCCCTTAATCCTTTAACCCCTAAGAGTTATTGGCATCTAATTTCTCCTAAACCCAGTTTACTGTTGAATCAAACATTAGGGCCATGAGAATAAGGGAAATGATCACCAACAAGAGAGCCTCTTGATTGTTGAGCAAATCCTCTCTGTCTGTATCATAGGAAATGAAAAGAGAACAGTGTGAAGAATATGCATATAAATCTTAGAGTGTAAAGGGGCTGTTGTCCTTAAGAGCAGCTGCAGATGTTTTGACAACCTTGTTGAAGGTCACAGTTGAGTGTTATGAGTCTGGCCCATGAAAACCAATTTTAGTAATCAGTTTGTTCATGATTCTGTTAGTCACAAGATCCTGGTAATGTATGAAGTACCATAACATGTTTCAACTGTGTTCATAGGATAGTGTTATTTGTATTGCAGCTACCTAGGAGATTATCATCAAATGCTAATCCTGTACGAAGGTACCCTAAGTCTTTAACAGCTGTACAAAGGAAAGAGGAGTCTGAGGCACCTTCAACGTCGGTAAGAACTGATGGGGAAAGCTACTCTGTTTAGCTAATTTGACTTGTCAGTGAGCAAGGTGTTATTACTTAGGGAAGCTTCTTTTTATGTGTAAAAATTGTTCCATGGGGTGAGGTACATGTTGTGAGGACCCAAATAAAGCAGGGATTTCAAAGCAAGCTGGTGACCACCGCAGTTCTGCTAGCTACTTGACAACATGTCACCGGTTACTCTGGTCAAAATAATAAGTTACCTTTTGGCCCTTAATGAACTTTTCACAGTCACTTACTTTTGCTGAGTCTGATGGCTACCTAAAAACATTTTGAAACCCCTGATCAAGGGAACTTAACAAGCATAGTAACTTAATCCTGTTTTGGTGTCCTTGAATCTTCTTATTAAGTCTAATTTTTAAGTTGCCTGATGGAGAGCCTGTGCATCACAGTGTTCTGCTGATTTTTTTTTCTAATTTGGCTAGCCAAAATAAATATTTGGAAAATAAATATTGCACTGGAATATTTTTTATGCTAATTTTTGCCATTAAAAAGTGTTAATAAGTTAATGCTGTTCTAAATGTATAAATGCAGTTTGGTTCAGGAAGTAAAACTTCATGTATTTAATGTTAGTGCTGGGTACTTTACTGGATGCTGATTACTGGTAGCAGTGAAGAGATTACTCTATGGCTAATTAACTATTAATTGAGCAATTAAAGGAAATTTTTTTCTTCTTTTTATCCTTTTTAAGGATAAATAAATTGTTAGTAGACAGTTATCAGTAATTTGATGATTGTTCTTCTGATCCAAGGGATCTCCTGTGAAGGAGGCAGAGGGTTACAAGCCTGCCAAACAGAGGGTGGCTCATGTATTAAAGAATAACTCCCCTGCAGGATCACTGCCGAGACCTAGGATCCCTGTGGAGTATGGTGCTAAGGTGCCGCAAAGTCAACGTCAGAGATACCTAGACAGAATAGTTGATGAATACCTTAGAATTTGTAGCAGTGAGAAAGAAGCATTTGAAAAGGTAATATAACAGCATATACTTGTAACATGGAGTCAGAAGCTTGAAATTAAAACTAAAAAATTAATCAAAGTTTTTACATTAGGCACTTTACCTATTATTGTTGTGTTTTCCTCTGACCCCCAGCTCTTACTCTTCCTACCTCTTAAATCTCTACAGATCTGTTCAAATTTTAGTTGTCATTTATGTAAAAAAAATCTTTCAGATCTTCAAAATACTGGAGGAAGTTATTTGGGGGGGGAGGAGGGTAGTGAATACCAGCAAGGGGAGAAATTTTGCAGCAGTTGGAATATTAAAACATAAAAAACACATGGAAGTCACTTGTCATTTAACTCTGCCACTCCAGTCTAGTTGCACAACAATTGTACCCTGCAGAAAACTTGATATGAAGTATTTTAAAGTGTTAATTTTTCCCTGACCCAGGCTGTTGAAGAAGAAAAAACTCTGTATGAAAGGAGCACCAGAAGACAAGTTTATTTGAATCTTTGTGTGAATGCTATCAAGAAACTTCGAGGTATAACACAACTGGAATCACCTTCTCCTGTTAAAAGTGAGACTACAACAAAAGTGTTGGTTACTAAGACACTGTCTTCAGGGGCAGTTGTTGTTAGTACCAAGAGCCCTGCGAAACAACAACCAGCTGTTCCACAAATGGATCCATTTACAGGTAATTTATATATTTTGCTTTACAACTGATTATGATTTTAAGAGAGGAGAACCTTCTTTCTGCAAGGACAGCCCAGCTTTGTTTGTGGGATCTGATGTCTTAGATTTTCTTTATTCTTTGGTTTTGAGAGTTATTCAGTTATTCCCTTTATGGCTTCTCAAATTTTCTTGTTTCATAAAGCCAACTTGCCACAATCCAGTTTATCTAGATACACAGTTTCATTTGACAGTAAAAGAAGTGAAACTCTTTAATGGAAGGAATCATGATCATGAAAGTCAGTCACAAAAAGAAAATGTCTCAGTGAGTTAATGAGAAATATTTGTGAATACTTGTGAACTGTCCCAAGCCCTGTAAAAAAGTGAGTGCCCACTCAAGATCAGTGATAGATTTACATCTGACTGAGAAGGGAGGGCTGCTGAAGACAGCATGGCCAGTGTTGACAGCCTTCTAAAACAATTACAGAGCTAAGTAAAATACAATGAGTGCAATCCCTGATCCCTTTTGACACCAAATTTAAAATTACTTGTACTTAGTTACAACAGCCAGCTGGGCCAACAATCCTCTTTTCCCTCTCTAATGATTATAATTTTTTTAATTGATGTTATAGAGGAGTTGATGTATGATTTCCTGTCTAAGTATCTGATGAGTGAAGATGACTTAGTACAGAATGGTTACCCACGTCCCTGTCCAACAGCACCCGGAAGAGCTGTTTTTAAAACTAAAAAGGAGCCATCTAAAGATCGTAAGTGTTCAGAGCCTTCCTTTGCGCAGTAGCAAAATAGATTTAATATTTCGTGTAGTGTGATCGTCCGGGTGAGTGTAGTTCTGAAAAGAACTGTTGTTGGTGACTGACGTTTCGCCTATCTGTGCGATAGTCATCTCCAGAGGCAAGTGAGGAGTAGTTGTCAGTCGATGATGTTATAAAGTCTGGTCTGTTGAACGTGATTGGTCTGTTTAGCCGTGATGTGATTGGCTGGAAGACTCGTGTAGAGTTTGTTAATAGTCATTGGTCGGTTTTGATCCGTCTGTTGTTTGTCGGTCTGTTTGTCGGTTTGTTTGTCTTCCAGCATAACATCATCGACTGACAACTACTCCTCACTTGACTCTGAAGATGACTATCGCACAGATAGTCGAAACGTCAGTCACCAACAACAGTTCTTTTCAGAACTACGCTCACCCGGACGATCACACTACACGAACTACTGATACTCCTGGGTTCAAACCATTTACTTTACTAGATTTAATATGTTGTTAATTTTGATCAGTGTTCTCCAGAAGACCCTTCAGCCAGCATTTTCATTGGCTAGTTACTTCTGATGCCCTAGCTACTTTAATTAATAGACCAAACAGTTAAACATCCTTTCTGATCCAAGCTCAATTTATAAAACACTGTTTTATGACTAATATGTAAAAGTTAGGATGAACTTCTTTGTCAGTTGATGTTACTGGAATGGGCACCAACTTTTCCATTTAACCCTTTCACCTCCAGGAATAACCAAAAAGGAATCTCTCCTTGTACAAATGAAGACACATTGTTAAGCAAAGAGGGGAAAGAAGAAAGAAAAATATCAAATATTGACAGAATTAATTTTAGTTGGTTAGAGTTTTAAATTATTTTTTTTCAATGCTGATTTGAAATGATCTTCCATTTTAGCTACACGTAGGACTTGCTGTCGTTGTGGCAAGCCTTTTGTTGTTCTTGAAGACGGAGTGTATCTAACAAGAGAAGAATGTGTGTATCATGCTGGGAAATTATTTCGAAGAAGAGGTTATTTTTTTCATGTTTGCACATTAATGGTATGACTGTGATGACAACTGACAACCAATTAGTGTTTTTTTTTTTTATACACAAATATGTAATATAGAAATTAACTATTTTGTAAGTGCAGTACAGAATGCAGCTGTCTATGAGAGAGAACTTTATGTGGTTTTTTTAGGCAAGGTTTTTTTCCTCCTGTGGAAAACTGAGGAATTTATCAAATTGGTTGATCTAGAATCAACTAGGATTCTTGAAGTTGATGAAAAAGTAACTTCTCCCTAGAATATCCATCAATTATCCAGAAAAGAGGTAGTGAGTCCAACAGACAGAATACTCAAACTTATCGGGCAGGACTTGTTATCTTGATCCACCACCAAATTCTTATAACTAATTTACAAGGAAATGTGTAACAGCTAGAGGTGAGAATTAAATGATCAGATCTTGGGAGTTAAAGGGTTAAGAAAGTAATCGTATCAAGACTATTCAGTTTTCACCAATTGCACAAAGTTGCTTTTACAAAACTTCTTTAGTGCCAAAACCTTTCAAGGGATATTTAATCGGCTGACCTGAATTTTATTCTCTCAGGGGAACCAATTACAAATTATTCTTGTTGTCAAGGAGATGCTGGTAGCCCTGGGTGCTGTGTTGGAAAGGTAGATTCTTTTGGGTCAAAATTTTATTCATATATTTATTCATAATTAAGTGTCTAAATCACTCTGGTTGTGATAGTTAATTATAGTCAAGCACCCTTGACCTATCTTGAACCACCTCTCCCATCTACCCCCTCTTTCCCTTCTCCATTTTCCCCTCTTTCCCCTACCCTTCCTCTAGAATCCAAGACAACAGCTTTGAACATTGCAAAATGTATTTGTTCTATTATTTTTCCCAACTTAGGACTCCCCAGCACACTGTTTATAAAAATTAACCCTTTACACTGGCTAACACCAGTATGTGTATATATTCTCCATACTGTTCTCTATACATTTTCCGAGGTCCTGACAAGGAGAAGTTGTTTAACAATTAGTAGCCTCCTAAGTTGGTGATCATTTTCTTTATTCTCATGACCTTAATGTTCAATTAAGGCATGATATTGTAAGGAGAAATTAGATGCTAGTCTCTCTTAGGAGTCAAAGGGTTAACTCTGAAAAGATATGGAAACATCTCACATTTTTGTGACAGGTTCATGTGTGTGACAATGTGAATAACACAGAAGGCTTTATGACTACCATAGTGAGTCCGCTGGTAGAAAAACGAAAGAAAATATTTTCCATGGACTGTGAAATGGTAACATTATTTCCTTTGTCTTATCTCATGATAGCTTTTAGATTTCTGTCAACTCAAACTTTGATAGTTATCAGATTTAGTATAATGTATTTAATTTTTATGAATAATGGAATTATGGAAACAGATTGACAGATTGATTTACAGATGAAAGGAGTGATTTTCAGATTGAAGTTAAAAAAAAAAAAAATGGAATTGGTATGTGTGAGAGAGGGAAAATGTGTTGGTGCAAGGGTTGATATGTGGAAGAGGTCTGGTTACTAGTCTTGGCTGGGTCATTGTTGTGGTCTAGCACAGGATACCACACTGTCATAATCTCTCTTTCCACCCAGTGTATAAATGGGCACTGGCAAACTGTTAGGGAAACCAAATAAAATGTGGTTGGGGGAAGGGAGAAGGAGGAAACCTGTGATGGACTAACATTCTGGGGGAGCAATACTTGTAGTCACCTCATGTTGCAGAGACTGGGATGTGCTCAGCTGGATGGGTCATTTAGCTTGAGTGGACTGCAAACTTCTCCTTACTTCTTAGGGATAGAAATGAATTTGATTGGTACCATGGGGATATTCCTTGAGATTTAATCTGCTACCCTATTTTAACAACAATCTACCATTTAGTGATTGATACTTCATATTACCAGTAGTAACAGCATTTAGTTATTCACTATTAAAATTACAGCACAGCTGATGTGGTTGTGTTATGAATAAACATTTTATATACGAAAAATGTTATAAAAATATTGAATTAAAATACATTTTAATGCTTAATAAAACTAAAACTTTTCAAAATGATCTCAAAACAATTAATAAGGGTGACTTATATACAGAAATCTAAATTATATACTGGAAACTCAATTAGTTCAACTTACAGTGGAAAAACTTGTGAGAGACAGAACCTTGATCAGTTCCCAAGACTAAATGTTGTATAGTTACTGCATTGTTATCTCCTCAGTGTTACACCACTTCAGGGCTAGAGCTAACCCGCATCACTGTGATAAACTGGAATTTGGAGCGAGTCTATGACACATTTGTCATTCCAGAAAGAACCATTGTTGATTACAATACAAGGTAAACATCAGGTCCTGATTGTTGGGAGTCCAATTAGCACTAACCTAGGGTTAACATTTAATCAGGGTTTCTTAATTCCTTTGTTCAAAAGCCTTTTTCTAATAATTTCCTAACTTCTTTGTAAGGCATCCAATCATCAATTTGTAAACAAAAGGAATAATATTGAACTTTCTTCCAAAGCTTTCAATTCAGCTCAGGATACTGAGCCTGTTCTCCCCTTTCAATGTTGAACAATTGCAGAAAACCAAAGACCAACGTTTTGCAGACTTTGGATAATGGATGAAATTAAGGGCACTGGGACTGAAATTGGTTTGCTACTCAAGAATACTTTGATCTCAGTGGCAAGATTTAAACTATTTTGATGCAGTTTAAAGCTAGCGTAGCTGAATCTTTTACTCCCACTTGCCTTCCTATGTGCAAATCCTCAAGGATGAAGGTTTAAACAGAGCATTTTGTTTTTGTTTTTTTTAGATTCAGTGGAGTGACTGAAGAGTCACTGCATGGTGTGACAACAACTATTCATGAAGTGCAAGCTGTATTGTTGAGTATGATTCACAAAGACACTATACTAGTGGGACACAGCTTGGAAAGTGACCTCAAAGCAACAAAGGTAAGTTTCCAGGGTACGATATAAACAAAAATAAAAACAATGAAGAGAAGCATTGTTCATTCATGTCAACCTGGAGTTTTACCCTATAGCATAGGGTTTCAGTAGGATTTCAAGAAGGCCCCTTGGGAACTTCCTATGGAGCTCGAATAAATGCTACAGAAAGTCATAATGTGATATGCTGTATCTAGATGCATCACCAAGGTATTAGTTAGGTTGTCTTTCCTTTTAGGCAATTGCAAATTGCAGAGACTAAGTCTTATTTAAACCCACTCTTCTTTTAATTCTTGGATCAGACTAGTACAAGAATCTTGCTTAACCTCTCTGTCATTCCCTGCAAGCAAATGGGGCATTGTGGCTCAATGATTTGCAAATTAGATGCAGGAAGAGAAAGTCTACATTTCAGTATTTCCTGGGTTGGGTCATCAGGAGGATTCCTGGAACTAGAAACATTTTGTGGCTTGCTGAGTTGCAATAATTATGAGACTAGACATTTCCAATATTTGCACCAAGGATTAGCATCATTACAGCTTCTTTTAGTGATATTTGGTCATTGAGTAAGGTTGCTCTCTCCTCAGATAATTCACAATAAAGTGGTTGATACCTCTGTGGTATTTCCCCACCGACTGGGACCTCCTTACAAGAGAGCTCTTCGTAATCTCACAGCCGAACATCTCAAAAAGATTATTCAGGATAGTGGTAAGTTTTGATAATGGTCATGTAAAAATGGTTACAATTTTTTTTAGGAAACTGTGCACAATGTGCACTTTAGTCCATTGTACTACAAATTTTTATTATGAGTTATTTGTTTGGATCCCTGAAATTTCTTTGGTTGTGTAATAGTTCATTTTACAGTTTCATGCTTGATTGATTTTGAACAAGAGGGAGGCTAAGGGTGACCTTGTTATCATGCAAACATTGCTGCTTTTCAAATGTGAATTACTCTGCTATCATGCTCACTGGTTACTAGTCTCTATCACAACAAGGTCACCTTCAGCCTCACACCCAGGTCACCTTCAGCCTCACACCCAGTCAAAGGCATGGCAACTAAGTATACAACTTTAAAATTGGTGATTTGTCTTAGTCTTTAAGTTAAGCAGTTTGGGTAAAAAGTGGTCAAGAATTTGTCTTTCTGATGGGATATTCACATGTTTTCATATTAAGAAACAACAGGTAATTTGACAGGATTTAGAGACCTTTAATTTACTGATGTCAATATTTGGATTCTTGGATCAATATCAGTATCTGAGCAACTGCTGTGCACCTATCTCCCCCTCAGCCAAACTTAACCCCAACTGCTTTCATTTAATTGTTGTTGGGTCAGGGGAGGGGTAGGTATCTAGTTGCTCAGATACTGATTTTGATTCATTCTCCCAGACAGTCCCCACAGAAAGTGTGTTACATTAGATTTCTCTTTGCCTTACGCTTTTAGAAGTTTGACAGATATTTTAAAAATTATTCCCTAATATTCTACTACAGTTGATGGCCATGACAGCTATGAAGATGCATCTGCTTGTTTGGAGCTTATGAGGTGGAAGGTGAAAGAAGACATGAAAAAGACATCAAGACAAAAGTCTCTGCATCAAGCATTTGCAGTTTCATAGCAACACTTCAACATTTCACACAGCAATAGGCAGTTAGCAGGTACTTTTTGCTAAAAGATTCTACATAATTTCTTAGTGAATCTCTTAAATTAAGAAGTTTTGTTCGTCTGTTCTGTTAACAGGGGAGCTGACAGTGAAATTGCAAACTGTAATAGTTAGATTTAGAATTGTGACAGTCACCCCTTTGGGTGCGTTGCTTGGGTTTTGCCACAGGTAGTTAGTGTAAGAGTTGAAACTTATTTATTTGGTACTGTCATCTTTCAGGTTTAGGTGAAACTTCACATGGAGCTGTCTGTGAAGTCTATATGGAAGAGGGGGGGGAGGCAGTTAATGAGAAAGTTTTCACTTTGATATGTTTATTCATTCAGTATCTTACATGGGACCTCAGTAATTAACACTTGTCATTTCTGAACCACTGAAAATATATCCAACAGTTGAATCATGAAATAAGGAGAAAATGAATCATAGGTATAAAGTAAAACAGACATGAATGAAGATTTAGTGTTGGTACAATATTTTATTTGGTTTAAATATCAGATTCCAAATTCCCAAGTGGCTTTAAAACCCTAAAGGAGAAAATACACCAAATGATAATCATGTTCTTTTGCAGTTATTTATTACAATAAAATATTTTTTTTAGACAAAAAGTTCAGGAACTTCCTGACAGAGAGACTTACTGGCAACTTCTCCAAATCAATCCAAAATGAATAAAATAATTATTACTATTTCAGATTTACAAACACAGGTGTTAGTATATGCAGATAATTTGGTTTCATCAAGTGAGTTGATGATTTAAATTGGCCCAAATAACAAGTTTTTAAAGCTAACATTTCAAGTATTAGCTCCTCTTCGGAGCAAATGATGAAGGGTTATCACTTTAACAAAGGGCCAATGCTTGAAATGTCAGCTAGAGAAACTCTTTGGGGTGGCTAATTTTCTTAATCAATTCAGTTGATAAAATTGACACAACACCACAGTTTCTTTAGAAACTTACCCTCTTTACTCATCTGTTAAAATATTCATTTGGGTTATGGAAAGAGTTCTATATAGTCTAATATATATGGTATTAATATCAATTACTATTTATACACTTGTTATTGCTTCATTTAACCCTTTAGTTCCCAATAGTGACCAAGACAGAATTTCTCCTTACACTATCAGTACAATATCAAGCAGAAAAGTAATGAGAATAAAGAAAATATCAATAAGGGGATTATTGGTTGATTCAAATCTAAATTCTCCAAATTAACATCACATAAATTGTATGGCAGACAGTAAGGAGAATTACTAATGGAATCTTGGGAGTATTTTTGTTTTGTTGTTACACCTTGTGTAAGAATATAAAAAAACATAACCTATTTATCATGAAATAAAAGTTTTAATACATCACTGAACGAAATCACCTCAATCCATAAACAAATATGACATATTACTATACCAAACCTACAGTTATGTTTCTTTATTTGTAATTATTATTATTAAACATTTTGTTACAGCAAAAAGCCACTGAAAATCCCATTCAATCTAATGATCTCCTTCTTGTACAGATTTAAACTTACATTAGTTGACAACAGTATTTAACATCATGGATATGTTATTTACTGGGCAGAAGAATCATATAAGAAAACTATACCAGGGTTTTTTAGCCAAGGCTGAAGACTAAAGGCACCATTCTTCACATGGACAGACCTAAACTGCAAAATACCTTTTTTTTCTGCTGGTTTGCTTTTTTATATTTTGCTACAAATAACACTGAAAAAAAATCACGATTTTGATCTGTATTGCAAAAACCTGGATCAGTTATGAGTGCAGGATTAGCCAATAGGATTCAAGGATTCAAGATTCTGGCCCACTGATAGAGATGGTACAGAAAACAAAAAATAATACTCTATCTTAAAAAGCCTATCCTGTTTCTCAATAGTTCAGTGGCTCATTGCTGCTAACAAACACTTGATAAATATTATTAATTGTTTTATAAGAAGCAGAGACCCAGTGAATTTCCCCTTCAACATAATGATCCCAGCTTGTGCATGTTCTACACTTAAATTATTTTACAACAGTATAAGACAATTTCTTAATGGTTAATTTACCAAAAGGGTGTGTTCATCACCTTCAGAACATAATTACCTTTGCTGTTTTCAAATTTCATCATGGGTTGTATTTTGTTTCCCTACAAAAGAGAATCTGGCACCTGCAGAGAAAGTTTTCACATTATGCATAATAACAAACTTAGATTTTTAGTAAAGTTGAATATAATTTGTGCACAACTGGAGAGCATGGATTAAATAAAACAGTCTGTGACTGCATGTACCTACAGCTGTATAGTTGTAGTGTATAATTTGCAGCAAAACTGCAAAGTGGTGTAAAAATGAACAGCTCATGTTGATGCCAAAATTGTGAAAAAAGGAACAGAGTTGTACACTGGTTAATTGACAGGCCAGGGACAGGGCAAGAAATTTTAAAACACAAATAGAATAGGTACATGAATTGAAAGTGCATCAAATGTAATTTTATACAAAACATTGCTACTCCTGGCGCTCTATGTACCTAGTGCAATGGTTATACCTACTCCTTTTGTTTTATCTTTCTTTTTCCTTTTATTTTCCATTCTTCCTCAAAAGATATGTTAGGGATGTTCAGAGTCAAACACACATGTGATAATGTTTGACAATGTAAGCTTTTACGTTCACATGGAGAACAAGAGACATTACAAGTGTCTCGCAATAGTGGACTATCTTCATTTGATAACGTGATAGGTTTGGGGAAAGGTTCATGGATTTACACGCTGCCAAACACATGGCTCATCCAGCACATCTTGCAATTGTGTACAACTTTTGTGTGTGAAACAAAAGCCAAAACTATGAATTTTCACATATTAGATATTACATATTACATGTATTCATAGAAATTAGTGACAAAGGTACATTACATTTAGTAGCAGTAATAATTTCCCATAAAATTGAGTTTTAGTCACCCTCAAATAATATTGCATAGGACTGGTTGTTCTCACTATTAGGTAAGCCTTCCAAGATTTGATTCACAATTTTCCTTTTCAGGCTACTATATATTTCCTTGTGAATCATTTAAGAGAATTTGGTGTTAGATTCAGATAATGCCTTCTGACTAATAAGCTTGTCTATTCTCAGCTGTTTGTTGCATTTAGTATCAATGTTGTTAGGAGAAGGTACAAGTCAATCATTTCTTAGAGTGGGCTTGGAACTGCTTAGTTCCATGCTCAGGGCTATAAAATTGGTACTCCATGGATTTCTTTTTGGTTGCTGCTAGGTTAAAAGTGGTGGTTGCACACCGAAGATAGTCAGCTAGTTTGTGCAAATAGCTTGTTGGGATTTTGATTGAGTTATGTTTACAATTTGGAATTTTTATACCACTCTTTGTTTACATTGGCACTGAAAAGCTCCAGTGCATGGGGTAGATGTCAAATAATTCTTTCCAGTCACAAACACTGTATTGAGCTCCAATCTTTAATTAATTTTAAATTTATCTCATTATTTTGCACAAGTCCATTCAATTTACCGCTTGTTTGAGGGCCTGGTCCAAGTCATCAATCAAATCTTGAGTATCTTCAAGTCCCACTGATAAACGAATCTAGGGAATTATAACAGATTCTATCATGAATATTGTAAGAGCAACTTCATACTTTATGTCTTTAAAGATATTGAGTAAACAAGACTGCCAGCTGTCTCAAACTATTGATAAAATGAAACATGTTATCAGTGTTTTCCTTGGGACCAGACTTGTTGTTTCAAATTCAATTCTCTTGTCACCCAAAGCTTGGTCCAAAACAAGAGAAAAAGAGACTGCCAGCAGTCTCAGATTCATAAACAAAATAACTATTGCTGTCCATGCTGACCATGAGTGATATCATACTCACCAGTGTATCTGATATTCCTAATACTTCCCTTTGATCTGCAGGAACTGATGCATGGGTCATTATTGCCCTGAAAATAAACCAACAAAAGATCCCTGATTTTAATGAACTTTTCTTTCCATTCCCAAGTCAATATCTTTTCAGCCAATCATTCTAACAGTCTTGGCTAGTTGTTTTAAGTACATGCAGAACTTACGGTAGTTCTGTCAGGCTTTCAAAACCACCAAGACTCTCGGCAAGTGTAAATAACTGAAAGAAAAGGATAAACAAAGACTCATGGCATTTAGTGACATGAGACATTAAAAAATCATACTTGTAAGACAAATGGGTTTCCTTTTGGATTTCCTGAATGCCACAAGAATTCCAACCTTAAGCCTATTTGAAAATAGCATTAACTTTATATAAAAATTATTAAATAAATATCAATAGTCACCTTAGATGATTTGAAAAACTTTCTGGAATTCTCCAAATTCCCTTTAATGAAAAAAGTCACCATACCACCAAAGCCTGTCATCTGTTTTTTAGCAAGTTCATGCTGTGGGTATGATTCCAGACCTGAAAAAAAGTTTTACATCAATGATGCTGTACCATGTAAATATATCTACCTCATCAATAGTTTTTGAGCAGGTCTGTTTAACCCTTTAATTCCAAAAGAGACTAGCATGTAATTTCTCCTTACAACATCATCCCCAGAATCAAACATTAAGGTCATGAGAATACAGGAAATGATCATCAACCAAAGACTGAAGCTCTTGTTTGTTATACAAATTCTCCTTATCAGCACCTTAGGAAATGTTTAGAAAACAGTATGGAGAATCTACATATTGATTTTAGGGTGTAGAGGGTTAACTAAGAGATATGCTATCTCTTCACACATGTTTCCATATGCCTTTCAATTAGTTCTCCAAACCTACCTTTGAAAAATTTGCATTCACTATAGAACTTATTAGCAATTTGTGACCAAACTAACATACAATTTCTAACTGCCAGTGTGTTACTTCATTGCAGCTGACCTCTTCATAGAAAATACCACCGCAACTCTCCCCTCCCTAACATACCTGGATACATAACTTTCTCTACCCTGGGGTTTCCTTCCAGAAATTTTGCAACAGCTGTAGCATTAATTTCATGTTGACGCATTCTCAAGTGAAGAGTTTTAAGACCACGATTGGCAAGGTAACAGTCAAAAGGACTTGGCACTGGACCAATAGCTAACAAAATAAAAAAGAAGAGTTTATAGATTGATTAATTTGTAAACTTTGCTAAATCTTAAAGGTTTGGAGAGAACTTTTTTCTGTACAGAGATGATTACCTATTTACTTACCATTTTGAAGGAACCTCAGCCTGTTGCAGATTTCATCATTATTTGTGCACATAACTCCCATCACTGTGTCAGAATGACCTGCAGTTGTCAGTAATAATTCTATCAAGCAAGTGTGTGGGGTATTCACAACTTTCAGAACACTATTTTATTGTCTGCTGGTATGATCTATCCACAGGCAGCCCAAGCTCACATCTCGATTAATTCATGAATGCATCACGCGTTGTGTGACTCGGTGTTAAGTTACGAGAGGAACCGTTGAAAATTTGAACACGCTAAAAAGACATGGATAACAGTGATGGTAAAGCAAGCTTAAAACAGCAGAAATCGCCGGAAACTACGACGGACACACAGGGCATTAGTAAGTTTTATTGATTTTACATGTAAAATATTCATATTTCGAAATATTTATCGTAAATCGACCATATTTCGTTCCCCGATCTATTCCTTGTAACGTGTTCAAATTTTCAACAGTTCCTCTCATAACAGGAGAGTCACACAACGCGTGACGCATTCATGAACTAATCAAGACGTGAGGTTGGGCCGCCTGTGATCTATCAAGCTATTTCTGGTATCATAGGCTTGGCTATAATATACTGTATTCACCCAGCTAGTGCTTCCCAGAGTTAAAAAGCACCTTAATTTCTTCTTTATTAGAAACAACAATAAAGAAAGATGGTAGAGCAAAAATAATGAGTGAGGGGTTATGGAGATGTTGGTCGGGGCTGTTTTGCAAAAAGGGAACAATAATTGTTCCCTTTTTGCAAGAATCTTCCAATTTGTGGACCCAATTTGCATTTAGCCCCTCACCAAATGTTAGAAAACTTAATTATTTATTAAAAATCAAAGTGAGGTATCCTACTTAGCCAGAGTTATCACACTCAGACAGCTCAGCAATGGCCTATAATTTCAAAAAGAGAAATTATCAAAATGAAACCTTCATGAAAAAGCTCCATACCATTCATGTACTTTGTCACTGAGTGCATGACAACATCAGCCCCAAGAGACAATGGGCGCTGCAAAGGAATATTTCACAAATTTTAATTTAAGATAAAGATTTTACCAGTCTGTTTTATTCACTGTGAAAAGGTGCCAAGATAACACCAAAAGGTATTCCCTTATTTTTTTTTTAGAAGTACAAGCTATAAAAAAATAGCTTGTACTTCTCTTAACTAGTACTTGGTAATCCTGTTTTAAATATTATTATACATTCAAGTAACTATCTCTTTTCTAACATGCCAAATCGTACAGTGAATTTACCAAATCAGCACCTGAGATGTTATCTAGCTTCATATAATACAACAATCATGTTAAGGTCACTCAAGGTTGAAGGGATATCTTGTCATGTATGATTGCAGTGCATGATTTCTAAGGGTAATCATGTCAAGTTTGTGAGCTTTGTGTTGCTTGCCACCAGTGAAGAGGCAAAAACATTTTTTTTTTGGTTCAATGTATAATAAAACGATTATTAGATTTGGTTTTTGTGATATCCAGAAAAATCAAGGTCTTGGCAAGGGTTATCAGTTTCAGCAGATAAACCTCACTGAGACCTTGATTATTCTGGATATCACAAAAACCCCATCCAATAATTGTTTATTATCAGTTATTTAGTATGTATTTTAAGTCACTGCACTCATTACAGCCTACCCCTCGACAAACACTCTCACTGACCAACTATGCCCATGCCTTTCTGGCCTTTTTATAAATTTATCTCTAGAAAATCAAAAGAAACCTACATATCCTAAGGTAATTAACAGGTAGAAATGTAACGCCACTCAAATACCTGAAAATATGATGACATGAAAGTATTATCCACCACTAAAATAACTCCCTGTCAGATTAAAAATTATGGATATGAGATAATGTTAGTATTGAGAAACGTCTGCATCCAGTATGTGGATATACACTCAAGCCACATAGCTAAGGCCAGAAAAACTCTGAGTTTGTTTCTTAGAGGTCTGTGCATAAAGTTAACTGCTTCCAATACAAGTTCTTGAGAGTCATTTTTTTTCCTGCGGTCATTGCACCAATTCAAACAAGTTTTCATTTGTTTGACTAGTTGGGGGAACAGATTTTAAAAAAAAGTGTAGTGCAGGTGCAGAGATTGACAGAAAATTATTCACACCACATTAAAGCAAATTGTCGCTTTGAACTAAACCTTTAATGTCTTGCAGCAACCAAATGTACCTCATGTTGATGAACAACCTCCGCAGCACCTTGGATGTCCACAAGTTTCAGCAGAGGGTTGGTTGGAGTCTCAATCCATACCATCTAAATTGAATTAAAGGCAATAAAATTTAATTTTTTCCTCAAATCTCAAAAAGGCATAGTATGTATATTAAAGTATATATTTTTTCACCTTGGGAGGGTGTGGTGCCTTAATTTAGCTCTTCCAAAAACTTCTGTGAAAATTGAAAGAATTATTGATAGGTAAAGAGAAGATTTCTCTATCCCAATTTTCATAAGTTTCATTATTCTCCCCATTTAAGCTTAATTGATTACTATTTAATTTAGGCCAAAAATCGATAGATAACACATTTAAAGATGAAGTAATTTTAATAATTCCTCCTCTTAATGCTCAATCCCTAAAAAATTATTCAGCAAAATATTTTTTCAAGATCACTCAGAAGCAAACTGCATTCTTTCGCATGAAAACTTCTGGCTTACCCTCAACGTATGAGACTTCTGAGCTGTCAAACTAATATTCATCAGTAATATGTAACATGTAATTATAATAGTTTGCTGAAAATTTTTAACCTTTGTTTTAGGTTTAATGGCAGCTTTCAGTTTACTCAAATCACTTGCATCCACCATTGATATTTCTATTCCCATATTTGCAGCAGCCACTTTTGAGAAGTACCTATTGGTACCTGTCAGTACAAAAAAAAATCAGATAAAATGTTTGGTATAAAAAAGCTGTGTATTATTGAAGTTGGGTCCACACTAGATCTGGAAATCAAAATAAGCACTTGACAGCTGTCTGTACTTGCTTTTAGACATAAATTTGTGGTTTGCTTCAGTCTATAAACTTTTCAACCCCCATGAATATGATGTTGATGTGATGTTGATGTTGCCTACTCTGACGGCAAACTTAGTGCTTTCAATAATTTCAGGCCTTTCACGAAATAATTTTAATGCATTACTTGCTTTCTTTCTTTTTTGTATAATGGTTTGTTGTATACTGTAATAAAAATACTCCATGAAATTAAAACACATCATGCAAATAACTCTCTTAATGACACGTTGCAAACTTGGAATCTGCATACTTTACATACTTTATTATAATAATAAATAGTTTTGTGTATGTCTTCTGTGTTTATTCACTTACAGCTTAATCAGTAACTTTTGTGTATCTCTCTTGTACTTTTATAATTGGGAATCAGGTTATTAAAACCTTAAATCATCAATGGTAAAACATTGTCTCTACTTTACAACATGGTTTTCCCATGCTTAACCCTTTACAACCTAACATCAGTATGCATGTTCTCCAAACTGTTCTCTATACATGTCCTAAGGTACTGACAAGGAGAGTTTGTTTAACAGTCAAGAGCTTCTTTAGTTTGTGGTCATTTCCTTTATTCTCCTGACCTTGACGTCTGATTCAGGGGTGATATTGTAAGTTGAAATAAGATGCAAGTCACTCTTGATAGTTACAACAGATTTATTGTGTCTTGCTGTTAACAATACATCTTTAAGTTGTGATTCCTGAAAACAGTTGTCTGATGGTAAAACAATTATTGAGCATCGTAATCTTGAAATATTGTGAATTGTCAGTGTGTTAACAAACAATTATTTTTCCCAGTCAAAAGCAAATGATTTATCAGCTCCCCATTGCCAAATCTCAAGATTTTGCTCAACACTATCCAATAATTATTAAGTATCATATAAATATTATTCAATCACTGCATACCTCCATATACATCATCCACGCAAACAATGTGTTCCCCACTCTTAAGTAAGTGAGTCAATAACATAGTGGCTGACAGACCAGAAGAGGTAGCCAAGCCTAAGGATGTGTCGAAATAGAGAGGTCGTGCCATTAGTAATTATTAATATCAACTTGCACATTTCATAATAATTTTGTAACACATATTGGTACTTCTTATTCAGTTCTCATTATTCATTCTACCCTCCATACTCCTTAAGTCTGACTATTTCTAGTTGTGGAATTACCAGACACATTGAAAGTTCTTATAAATAAGCCAAAGTCTGTATTGTTCACTTGTAGACTCAACTGCATAAGTAACATTCATCAGTAGGACTACATGTTCAGGAAATGTCTTGTTACCCACCCCTAGGATAGTCAGCAGAAACACCAGGTTGGAAGGGGGGGGAGTCTCAAAGCTTGCCAGAATCATCAAATCCCAAAAAAGAAACGAGGTTAATTAATAACAGGGATGGCTCAATAAGAGTATCATGTTCGCGTTTCCACGCTGTTAGATAGCTAGTTGTGTCTGCTAGGTTCGTGTTCGAGCTCGCTTTCCCTCCCGCCCTCCCGGGGGCGCAACATTGTAATTTTCATCAATAAACAGAATTCTTTGGCCCAAACGTGTCTGCGTGTTTATCACTAGTTAGTAATTTTGAGTTTTGATTGATCAAAGTGATGTGTTTATTGAAGAGAGAGGTCAGAGAGCATAACAAAGGTATTATAGATTTTTCACAATTGAGGTCATTTGTTAGGGTTTTCTGATCTCTGCTCTTTTATGAAAACGATTGGGATTGCCATCAAACTTTTTCATACCCCGGCCAAGATTTCTCATAAAGCAATTCCTACTAACCCTGGGGCAAGAAACATGTTTGTTCATTTTCCATTAGAAGAAATCACTTTGAAAACCAGTTTGACAAAATATTTCCAGCAATTATTTCTGTTTTCTTCAAAGCTTATAATGTGGACTAATCGTGATGTCCTTATAAGTAACCAAAACAAAAATTTTATCCACGTGTGGGGTTCACGTGGAGGATAAAGGCTATATTTCCTTACCATGCTTGGCACCCTCCAAAGCCGCCACGCAAGCCTCAAAGCAGTTCCTGGTAGGGTTCCCCGATCGCGAGTATTCGAATCCCTAGAAGAAGCAGAAAGATCAGAGGTACAGCAGCGTTGATCGTTGCAAATTTTTCACGTAAGATGACGAGAAACTCACACGATGAACTCCTGGGTCATCCTGTTTAAATGTTGTAGCCATAGAAATCGGCGGCACAACTGCCCTAGAATTCCACTGTTCGGGTTCTTGGCCAGCATGGATCGCCAAAGTTCCGAAATGCGGAAAAGGTTTGAGATTCTTTTGTTCGGCTTCGTTCGCCATCTTGGAAGAAGAGGAGAGGGTAGACCGGGGCACAAAGTGACGTAATACTCTAAACAACAACAACCTGCTTCGTTGCACAATCATCATGGCATTTGCGGCTCAAGATATGCATTGATCTCCCCAAAATTACTCAAATGGACAAACATACTGGCTCTCTAAAAGAAAACAAACGGGCTCCATGCTAAAACAAGTAGATTATTCTCAAAAAGAAAGGTTCAAAGCTCGATGTAACCGTCCCCTCCCCCTAACACACCCCAACAGTTTTTAGCCACGCACACCGCCGGCTCCAGAGCCCCCTCGGATTTAAATATGGCGGCCTCTTAATAGCACACTAGCGGCCAGGCCGGAGAGTGATGTGAACACATTACTATACTAAAATGGTTTGGTAAAATTGCCAAAATTGGTATTTATTACCATACGTGGTAGGTAATTTTACAGCGTGTTTTAACCAAGAGTTTCATTCAACTACATATATCTAACCTGTCATATTACGTCATACCACGCGCTCCCATCGGACCTGTGGGAAAAAACGTGGTATCGGACCCGCCATTTTGATTTCGCCCATGTTGTCATGTAGTAGCTGTTGCGTTATTGAATAAAGAGTTTAAATGGAAAAATTGTGACATGGTGTCAGAAGTGGGATCGATTTACACCAATAGAGGAATTCTCACCGCTAGAACAACCAAGAAAACCGGTACGTACGATTTTACAGTGTTTACTACAAAGTCCTGTCTTATCGTGCAATTTAGCCAAAAATGAGCGACTTGGTTGGGTTTGAAGTACCAAAAATGGACTGGACCCCTGGCCCAGATTTATTAACTAGATTCAAGAGATTCCGCCAAAAGTGTGAACTGCTACTTGATGGACCGTTAAAAGCTCGAGACGGCACTCAAAAATGCAAATATGTGCTGCTATGGTCAGGCGATTACGGAATAGACTTATTTAACACTTGGTCGCTAACCGAAGACCAACAAAAAGACCTGAAAGAATACTGGAAAAGATTCGAAGACCATGTTAAACCACAAGCAAACCATATCTTGAACAGATATTATCTACGAGGTCTGAAACAGAATAATCGTCCCCTAGCCACCTTCCTGACTGAAGCAAGGCTACTCATACAGAGCTCAGGTTACCCACCTGACTTACATGACGAACTCATGCGTGACACATTAGTTTTCGGCACCGATTCGGAAGAGGTCAGACGAAAATGCATTGCCCGCGGTAATGAATTAACCTTTGCAAGGGCAAAAGAAATTGCACGAACTGATGAGGCTACCCAGATGCAATTAAAAGCAATGAGTGACACTACAAACCCAAAGCAAGAAGAAGGGGAAGTCAATGCAATCAGCAGAGGAAACAAGCCCAGAAACCAGCCCCACCAAAGGTACACCAGTGGTAGAGGAAACAGACGACGTGACAACAACCTAAGACAGTGCTACAGATGTGGAGACACACCACACACCAAAGACCAGCAGTGCCCAGCCACTGGAGTAGAATGCTTCAACTGCAACAAACGCGGTCATTTTTGCAAAGTTTGCAAGTCTAAAACAAGGTCAGATGTGATGACCCTACAAAAAGAACAACCTGATGGTGTAACAAGTGAATGCACAAGCTACGACAAAGTCTTCCTGGGAACACTAGAAGCCCGAGACAGCCCCAGTACCTCAATGATCGCAAGCATTGAACAAAAAAAAAAAATGGAACTTATCATATCTCCAGAACATTACAATACTGGTTGAAAGGATATCCCTCCTGGGTTAATAGCATCGTCCTCTCTGAAACAACCAACGGCAAAGGAGAAGTCACCAAAATCAGAGTCTGCCTCGATCCACGTGACCTAAATAAGGCAATAAAACGCGAACACTACTACACCAAAACAATTGATGAGGTAGTCACACAGCTTAGTGGTGCCAAATTCTTTAGTGTTGTTGATGCCAAAAAGGGCTACTGGCATGTACCATTAGACGAAGCCAGCTCCTACCTGACTACTTTCAACACCCCGTTCGGGAGATACCGTTTCACCCGGCTCCCCTTTGGCCTTATTGTATCACAAGATGTGTTCCAGAAACACTTAGATTCAGCACTGGAGGGCCTGAAAGGAGTCACCGGCATTGCAGACGATACATTCATATACGGAGCTACAGAGGAAGAGCACGATGCGAACATGGTAAACCTCATGATCAGATCCAGGGAAAGGGGAATCAAATTCAACAAAGACAAAGTACAGCTCAAATGTCAGGAAGTCAGCTTTTTCGGCCACAAATGGACCCAGGATGGAATCAAACCAGATGACAGTAAGATATCTGCAATCCAGAAGATGACCCCACCTGAGAACCGCAAAGACCTCCAAAGCTTCTTAGGCCTCGTAAACTACCTTACAAGATACTCAGGGCGATTGGCTAGCCTCACAGCACCACTGCGAGAACTTACCAAGAAGGACACCGCATATGTATGGGGACCTGAACACGACGACTCATTCAACCAAGTCAAACAGGAAATCACATCAATGGGAGTCCTCAGATACTTTGACCCAAACATCGAGTCTGTCATTCAAACTGACGCTTCCCAGAAAGGAGTAGGCGCCGTCCTTTTGCAGCAGGGGCAACCTGTATGCTATGCCTCCAAAGCACTTACAGACACAGAAAAAAACTACAGCAACATTGAGAGAGAAACACTTGGTGTAGTATGGGGCCTAGAGAGATTTAACTACTACATTTTTGGGAAGCACTGTACAGTAAACACTGACCATAAACCTCTTGAGGCGATTTTCAAGAAGCGACTGTCCAGTTGCCCACCTAGATTACAGAGGTTCTTGATGAGAGCCCTGAAATACGACGTTACGGTCAACTACGTAAAAGGTCCTGATGTACCAATAGCCGACGCTCTCTCAAGAGTCAGCCCCCAGCCTACCCCTAGCAGCAGTCAACTTTCAGAGATATATGTCCACCACGTCACACAACATCTCCCTGCAACTCCAACAAAGCTACAACAGATCCGTGACGAAACAGGGAGGGATCCTGTATTGTCTCTGTTAAAAGAAATGGTCTTTGAAGGATGGCCACAGAAAAGAGAAGAGTGCCCCCAACTGCTACATGGCTATTGGAATTTCAGAGAAGAGCTGACCATCGAGGACGGCTTAGTACTAAAAGGAGACCGCATCGTGATACCTCCTACTCTCAGACCTGAAATCCTGAACATCATACACCAAGGCCACCTAGGGCAAGAGAAATGCCTTTTACGAGCACGTACATCCGTTTTCTGGCCTGGAATTACAAAGGAAATCATCAACCAAGTTAACCAGTGCGAACCCTGCCAGAAATACCAAAATAAAGCAAGGAAAGAGCCAATACTACAGCCAGAACCGCCACACCGACCATGGGAAAGACTCAGTTCGGACTTGTTCGAATTTAGAGGGCAGCAATACCTCCTGTTGACAGATCAATACAGCAGATTTCCTGTCATCAGGAGACTAACAAGCACCACGTCATCTGCAGTTATCAACCATCTGAAGAGCATCTTTGCAGAACACGGCATCCCTACGCAGTTGACGACCGACAACGGACCGCAGTACAGTTCGGCAGAATTCAAGCATTTTATGAACGTCTACGGGGTAGAACACATTACTAGCTCCCCCTATACCCCCAATCCAACGGGTTTGCTGAGCGAATGGTCCAGACCGTGGAAAACATTCTCCAAAAGTGCGATGAAAATAAAGAGGACCCGTACCTTGCTCTCCTATCATACCGGGCCACTCCCTTGGATCACCAGCTGAAATCCCCAGCAGAACTGCTCACCAACAGAAAATTTAAAACTAGATTACCAGCATGCCATAGAGTCCTCCTCAACCACTCTCACCATGAGGTCATGAAAAGTAAGCTCATAGCCCGTCAGGAGAAACAAGCCCACTATTACAACCAGCATTCAGGACCACCCAAAAAGCCATTCGAAGCTGACCAACCCATCCGCACGTACAACCACCACTCACAAACCTGGGAACCTGGCATTATTGTAAAACCCGCCAAACAGCCAAGATCTTACATCATCAGATCCAGCAGTACAGGTACCACCTATCGAAGAACACGGGCCCAACTGAAACCAGACACAACTGCAGTGAGGGGAACACAATGCCAGCGGGTGGAAACCCCAGTATACCAAGGTTCTGAGATACCTCAGCAGACAACTAGTCTTGCCCCAGTCAGTCACACACAGACATCGCACAAAAACGGTGCAGCCCCCAGACCAGGATCTGGCGAAACAGTGCCACTGAACAACATCCCCCAGGGACCCTCAGACATAGCTGGAGGATATGTGACCAGATCTGGGAGGACTGTGACACCTGCACAAAGGCTGGATCTATAAGAGTAGAGACGCTAAAGAATAGACTTATAAGTATAAGCACAGGAGGGATATCCTTTCAACCAGTATTGTAATGTTCTGGAGATATGATAAGTTCCATTTTTTTTTTTTTTGTCGTTATTATTATTATTACATCGGTAGAAAGGGGGATGTCATATTACGTCATACCACGCGCTCCCATCGGACCTGTGGGAAAAAACGTGGTATCGGACCCGCCATTTTGATTTCGCCCATGTTGTCATGTAGTAGCTGTTGCGTTATTGAATAAAGAGTTTAAATGGAAAAATTGTGACATAACCCAAGGTATCTTTCTGGACTGGAATGTCAGAAATGGTATGGTACTGTGTGTTAACTAACTTTGTAGGTATAATTTTCAATAGTTTGCCTGAGTATGTCAGGTTAGCTGAGTGAGGCTGACAAGTTACAATGTTCTGCCTTTTTTTTTATCTTAAACAAGGTCATAACATGAAGCAATTTTGTCTTCATTCTTTAACTCCCAAGATCTGTTTGCTAATTCTACTCTCTAGTTTCTAGACGTTTCCTTGTACATTTGTTATAGGAATTTGTTGTTAGATCAAGATAACGACCTACTCTTTTGTTGGATATTGTATAAATAGTTTAGGGAGAAGTTACATGTAAATCACATCACACAGGAGTTTAAGGGTTAAACAGCGTGATGTGATACACTGCTACCTAAATTTCACTGAAGTTCGAAATATCCAGGACTTAAGCATTCCCCACAAATTTGTTCAAACTGCAGCTTACTACTTCTGCAGAGCAGTTGCAATATGGAACTCTAATGATTATTTCACAATTTTGACAAGTATTAGGTAA